GGGTGACGATAAACACACAGTACGAAGGCACTCAGAATCTCCAGTAAAATGATTAAAACACTATAAAAAAATGAAGTGAACCCCAGTGGAGCAGCAGATACAGGAGGATGAGAACGGTGGTCGTTCGTGTCACGAGGTTCGTTGTTGCCTGGACGACCAACAAAGAAGAAGCAGCTGGAATATTTGGAGGAGAATGGAGTGAAAAGAGGGGGGAAAAAGAACTGAGAATCACTGTATTCACCAGCAGGGGTGGCTGCTGGGAATCAGTTCACATTGATGGTAAATGAGGCAGTAACACCCCCACCCCTCGAGACCCTCCCCCCCCCAAAAAAAAAAAATCTGAGCTATTTCTGTCCTACTCCTGTGTATGGAAACAAAATAAAAGTGATTTTAATGGAGTTGAGACTAAAACAGAGAATATAAACGTCATCATCATCAACAAAAAAACAAAAAGGCTCACGATTTAAAGCCGTAAATTATATAATAGATTGAGAAAAAAACAATGAAGGGGGGGGGGGGGGGGAAAATGCAGGAAAAAGTTATATAATAGATTGAGAAAAAAAACAATGGGGGGGGGTTAAAATGCAGTGAAACAATGTTGACGATGTGCAAATAAGCTAAGATCACAGGTCTTCAACAGGAGGTCTGTGACCCCTGGGGGCTCGCTGAGGTACTACAGGGAAAGTTGTGATTTTTTTTTGTCCTTTTATATGGAACACGGTTCTTTTTGAACATTTAATTCCAGGCTGATGTAAAAAAAAAAACATCCTTGAACATATAAACCTGTGACACTGGTTGTTTTGGTGTCGGGAGTATATTCTTAACCTACACCAACATGTGTAACATTTGTACTGCAGTAACACAGAGCTGAGAGTACTGCATTGGACGACATAGTACTTATATATATTTATATGTGTGTGTTTTTCAAACCAACAACCCTCTAAACTGGAGCTCCACGTTCGTGTTTTTACCTCCAACCCGTCAGACTGAAGTATTACAGCCTCAGGCGCAGTAATAGTGTGTATTTACTCCGCCTGTACTCTGTAATGAAGTGTGTTTTGGAGCTAAGTACCCGGACCGGCTGCTGTGGCCCAACATTAAGTGATCCAGACCAGGTGCTTAGAGCCAGGACACGTTTTTAAAGACTTGACAAGTTTACTTTATTTAAAACATCCCTCTCAGTTGCAGCTTTCTCTGACACGCAGGGGTTAACCAGGTGAAAACTGAACACCGCTGTATCAAATGTCATATTCCCCAAATCTCTGCCGGGCCGTAACAAAGAAACAGCCCCGCGGTGTTGTTAGGCTCCCGGCCCCGCCCACCGCGGCCTCCGATTGGCTGCTCTGCTGCTAGGATATTCATCAGACACCTTGCTCTGGGGCTCTGATTGGTCGAAGCCGGTGCAGTTATGCAAATGAGCACCTGGTGGCGCCTGCTGGCCGCCGGGATGTGGAGCCGTGGACTAGGAAAGGAGAGAGTTAGCAGCGAGGCTCAGATTCACGGAGGAGCCGAGGAACAGCGAGCGACTGACGGGGTCGGAGCAGCTCCGTCTCCGGGTGTATTTTTGTCACAGTCGACACCGTTTAAAATCATCACACACGGCGGCGGAGTGACGTGACGTGACGCCGTGGCCGCGGCGGTAACGACGAAGAACTGTCTGACTTGTGCAGTTGTGTGAGTTCTGACAGAAGTCGCTGACTGAGTGGGTCGTAGCTGCCCCCCCCCCCCACCCCCACCGAGCTGAGCCTGGATCAGTTAGAGGACACGAGTTGTTAAGGACAGAAACGCCGAGTTTCAGCTACTTTGACACCGACTCCATCCAGAGGACTGGACTCCTGTCAAGCCGAACTTCTCTGGATTTTTTTAGGTAAGTTCTCGCACAACTCCTCCAGTCCCTCCGCGGCTCCCCGTACACTTTACTCATAAATAGGCGGCTATAATAATACTGCACCGAATATTTCTGTCTGTCTGACTGTCTGACTGTCTGACTGACTGTCTGTCTGACTGTGTGGGTCTGACAGTCTCTCACTTCGAGCTTTGGCGTCTGTCAGTCTGTCAGTCCGGCGGACTCGGCAGCTCCGGACTGTGGGGAAGTAGCCCCGGTGAGAAGTGGCGCCGAGCCCTGGTTGTGGAGCTCGTTTTTTTGGGGGGGGGGAGATAAGTTCGTGGCACGAACCCAGCACCGCGTTGCTGGAAATATGACAACAAAAACACGCTGTTCTGTATCTGCGTGGAGCTGGAGTCACGAGCAGTGACTTCAGCCGATGATGAACTCATTTATTTTTGGTCAGATGTCACGTGATGCAGATCAGTGAGTTAATGTGACGAGGAAACATAACAGTGAAAATGTGTCGATGTTACTGCAGCAGCAGCGCGAGGTAAAACAGAAATATATGAGGCCAACACTGTAGAAGAGGAAACGAACCCTTCAAAATAAAAGCACGTCTACAAACACAATCTGTTAGATACTGTTAGACTCTGATGTAAAAGTTGAAAGAAAATAAAGGGGAAAACTTTCTCCACATAACAATATTATATTTTAAATATTTATTTATTTATTTTACTTCTTATTTGTACGTCTCCTTACATATAGGTATGTTTTTAAAAAGAGGAAAATTTTAAATCCAGTTTTGGAAAAATCAAGAAAAAAGTAAAATAAAAAGAACCAACGACATGAATATTTTACTGTTAATTGATAATAAAAAATAACTCCATACAGTGATGACGAACATCAGTAAAGTAAAGACCAGAACCTGTTCAGATCCACCTGTGTGTCTTCACACACACACACAGTCACATTGGTCAGTGGTGCAGTGGTGAAGTGGACGTCACCTCTTCTCTCCGTCAGATCATTAATCCCAGTCTCCATCACACCTCGTTCACAGAATCTCACATTTCAAACCAAAACACTTCGTCGGACGACGTTGTGAGGAGGAACTTCCACACACGTCCAGGTGGCAGCCGTCACCTGGACCATTAACCCCCCCCTCCTGACCCCCCCGACCCTGCAGCGCTGCAGGTGACTTCAAGTGAGACAGTTTCAGTCACCTCTGACCTTTGACCTCACACCGGAGGCTGAGTCAGTCGTCAGATCTAAAAAACCCAAAACATTCAGACTTTTCTGATTGGCTGTCGGAGTGTTTGGATTTTCATGAAATGAAAAGTAAAGACAGAGAGTGATTTTTTTTGTTTGTTTGTCATAAATTATTTTCTGATCCGTCAGAGTCGCACAGAGGTTTGACGCCGGTCGAGAACCGATGTTCTGTCTCTTGTTTAGGTGGAAGGAGACGGATGGATGTTTGGGTGTGACTCTGTGTGTGTGTGTGTGTGTGTGTGTGTGTGTGTCAGGACATGCAGCAGTGATACAGCAGGGTGGAGTATG